TCGAGTAAGTTGATATCCTTCCTCATCCATGGTGAAGCTGCTGGCATTCCATACTCTAGATGAGGTCTTGCAAAGACACCAAAGGGTCTTTCGAAGAGTTCGGGAGGAAATATTTTAAATGCACGTCTGATCCAGTGTAGAGTACTAGTTGCCTTCTGGACCATCTTTCTACAGTGTTCTGATGGCGATAGATTTGTGGTCGTCCATACACCCAGATCTCTGTGTCTTTCCACAGTTTCTAACCTCGTCCCGTCAATATAGTACTGGTGTTTGGGAGAGGCATTGCGGCCGGTGGTCAGGTGCAAAACCACGCATTTGGACACGTTAAACTTCAAAAGCCATCTGTCCGACCAAGCACACAGTTTGTTGATGTTCGTCTGCAACTTCTCTGCGTCATCATCACACTTGACTTCACTCCATATTTTTATGTCATCCGCGAGCATGAGAGCCTCGCAATTCACTTCGCTGATGCAGTCATTAACATAAATCAGGAAGAGTACTGGGCCTAAGACAGAACCCTGTGGGACACCACTTTCCACCTTTACCCATTCCGAGGTAGAATTACTAACGACGACTCTTTGTAGTCTGGAGGACAGAAAACTCCTGATCCACTTAAACATTCTCCCTTGAATCCCTACATCCCAGATCTTTTGTAAAAGAAGCCTGTGTGGGAAGTCAAAAAATATGACATCTACTGGAAAACCCTTATCGGTAGCTCGTGTTCATTTCTCGTGCGAGTAAAGAACACTCATTAAGCAGGAGCGCCCTGGACGAAAGCCGTGTTGGGCATCACACAATATTTTGTTCTGTTCCAGGTATTTCATCAAGTGTCTTTTGAAAATGCGTTCCATTATTTTACACGCGATGCAAGTAAGACTGACAGGACGATAATTTCCGCAGTCAAGTCTTGAGCCTCCTTTATGGATCGGAGTAATGAGTGCGCACTTCCATTCTTCCGGTAGCTCGCCGTCTTCAAATGACTTTTGAAATATTGCGGATAAGGGTTTGCACAGTTCATTAGCAAGTTCACGAAGTGCTAGGGCGGGAGTTCTATCTGGGCCAGGCGATTTGGCAGGTTTCAGCCAGAGTAGCTCGGCCCTGACTATGGTCGACGAAAAGAGTGGTTCCTCGGTTAAGGAGGGTAGGGAGGGGATAGGATGGGGAAGGGTACTGGGAGGAGAGGTTGTTTGGCGAATGGATGGATGGGCAAATATAGAACTAGGTTCTCGGGTGAAGACGGACTGAAAGAAGTCGGAAAGGAGGGACGCTTTAACCTGGTCATCAATCTCCACTTTTCCATCTGCAGACCTGAGGGCAGGGATTAGCTCCTGAGTCCTTTTAGTACTTCGTATATAACCATATAGAATTTTCGGATGCTCCAACGAATTTCGGAGTACGTTCACTTCAAACGTCTTTCGCAGCTTTGAGGCCTCATTTTTACAGACGTTTCGTTGCCGCTTATATTCCTGTTAGTGTTCGTCTGAGCCAGTTAGTCTGTAACGCCTCCACAGACGATTCCTTTTTCTGAAAGAGGCCTCCAAGTCCGGGTTTATCCATTTTGGGCAGTTTGTGATTTTCTTTCTTCTGAGAGGACAATTGGAATAAACAATCTCTTTCAGTAAGGAACTGAAAGTATTCTAGTTATCGTTTGCTCGACCATGCAATTCAGTCTCCCATGATATAGCTGCCGCTTCCCTCCTCATGAGAGAATAGTCCCCTTTCCAAATGTTTCTCTACCACCTCTCGGGTTGGACGGGTTCGTAAAACAGTGAGTACTCGAAGTAGAGCGTGATGTGGTCGCTTGACCCTAATGGCTGTCGGTCCTGCAGGTGTAACACATTTTCCTCCTCTCGGGTAAAAATAAGATCAAGGCAGTTCGACTGCTGCCCTTCCCTGACCCGTGTTCCAAAGGTAACATTCTGGCAGAGAAGTTTGTCCGTTGCCCATTGTAGTAGTTTGTGATTAAAGCTGTCTTGCGGCCCTTGTGCAGTCCACGTTAGCCAATCAATGCCAGGAGCGTTAAAATCCCCAACGATAAGGACGTCTTTCTTCTCGCTAGCTTGGTACAGTTCGGATATGAGCATGAGATTTTGGTCAGAAGTATGGTTAGGTGAACGGTACACCACCGAAAGCGTCAATGATCGGACATTCTTAGTAGATATGGTAACGCTTAGCAGTTCCACATTCCGTACCGGTCTGTGTACATCAGCCATAGCGCTTAGCTTGCAAGTGACATAAATTACGACTCCTCCTCCTCCTCGGCTTAGTCTATCTCTCCTGAATTGCTGATATCCTCTAAGTGATATTTCTGAATCTGCGATATCTTCAGTAAGCCACGTTTCTGTGAATGCCATAATGTCTGGCTTAATTTCATCAACTAAGTCTCTTAGTTCGTCTAATTTGTTGAAGAGGCTTTGCACATTTGCGGATATAACCTTCAATGACTGATTCGTTGGAGAGGCCCGGCCTTCATTGTGACGGGTTCTGACCACAGGAAAGACCCCTTTGTCTGGACTATTTGTCCATTTTTGATCTTCAGCCCTTTCTCTCCTCTGCCAATTCTCTCCTTCAATTCTGATCTCAGTTCTCTTATTTTCAGTCTTTCCCTCGGTTCGTAGTCTGGTTGAAAAAACACTTCCTTGTGCGAATTGCGTAAGGTCGTTCTACTTTCTAACAAAAGCGCTGCTTGGGCTTCGTTTTCCAAAATAACTTTCAGGGGTCTTGGGGATGTTTTTAGGTCACGATTTGGGTCCACGCTGCCTAGTCGGAAGGCTTTTTTAACGGTGAATATTTCCCCATCCTGCAGGACGGCACTGGCGTACTGATGAAGAAGATCTAGGTCGTGCGTCACTCGTTCCTTCAGAATGCAGGACGTGGACTCTGGGGCACCCCTTAAGACAATATTTTGCTTACGATTTATGGAAGAGCTCATTACTGCCCCGTCCGCGCTAGGACGATATAATGCTACTGTAGCATTCCCGACGGCTGTTGTCACTTCGACATTTGAATGATTTTCGGCCGGCGAAGGGAGTTTAGGGCATGAATTTTCATGTGACGTACTTGCTCCGGCAGTGGAGCTCTTACAATCATTACCCTGTTGCAATGTACTGCACGAAGGCTTATCGTGTCCTTTTCCATAAACGGATTGGTTAGGGCACTTTCCAGATGAGTTAGCCTTGTGAAGAAGTGGAGTAACAGCATTGCCTTCCAAGAATAACGGCGAGTCCTCGTAGTTTCTAACAGATCTTCTGAGGGTCACCCTGGCTTTCCCAACTTTAGTGTTCGATGATTTGGCAGGTTTAGTTACTATAACAGGTAATGGAACCTGACTTATTTTTAATGCATTAGTTTCGACCGCCACGTTATCCACCGGAACTGATTTGTCTAGAGTTTCCTCTGGAGACATAACTCGCTTCCTCTTGCTGACTGGCTTTGACTTTTGCGCGCTAGCGCCTTTATTAGTAGGATGTTCGTCGCCGATCGATCGGAAATTTGGCGGATTATTTGGTAATTCTATCTTACTGTGCTTAAGAATAGCCATGATGATGTCCGTCAGTAGGCCTTGCTTCTCTTCTAGCGTCTGGACCCGCTTTTCAAGTTCCTTACAGCCGACACAGCGACCGACAAGCGCAGAATCCGTCCCGTCTCTCATACAGTTTTCGAGGCCTCTTGGCAGTGCATCGGTTCTTATTTTCTGTCTTATCTCTTCGAACCTATTGTGCGTAATCTCCCTGAAGTCTAATGATTCCAGCGGCATTTTATCGCAAGAGACTGCTAATGAATTAAAGACCGTTTTCAGCTGCTCTTCTGTAGTTGATAAACATATCTGACTAGCGCCAATTGTTCATCGATAGTGCAGTGGCTAACGCTCTGGCCTCCAGATCCGCAGGTACCGAGTTCAAATCCCGGTTGCACAACTTTTGTGAACGAGTTTTTTATAACAAATTGGCTCATTGTTGATGATTTTCAAACTCTTCAATCAGTTCTAGAGTAGTGCAGGATGTTTTCAACAATTGTTAGAATGAAGAATTTGCCAATTATGAAGTAAAATAGGAAACGACTCAGCCGTTTATAGTTTTCGACGTAGATCTCGGAGAAAAGTTGTCAAGTAGGGAGACTCGTACAGATGGTCGGACGATTGCAGATATCTTTTGATGGAGAATTTGTGGTATACTTCACCGGTGCGAATGAAGAGACTAATCAGTGGTGCTGTTCCTTGAAGAATTCGGGTAGAATCTTCCTCCTGATACCGTGGGAAATAACGTCGAGATCCGAAAATTCCAATAATGATCGAACTTTCGAGTTGGTGTACTTGTAATCCAAATCCAAAGGATACGTTGTCAGTTCGCAATTTATTTCCACGCGACGTTCAGTCTGCCCTATACTATCAAGTAAATTGGACGAAAACTCGGAGAGCTGGGGATACGACTCAAATTCGAAGGACGAAACAACCACTTAAAACAAGGTTTTCTGCTGGAAAGCTAGTGTGGCTCCCGCCGTCATCGCGAGACCACCGACTCGATCTTCGCGCCCGCCAACTGCAAGAGAAGTGTCAGGAGATGCGGGCCCATCTGTGCTCTACGTTCGTGGATCCGACGAAAGCCTTCGATACGGTGAATCGTGACGGACTGGGGAAAATCATGCAGACATTCGGCTGTCCTGAACGATTCACTCAGATATTGCGTCATCTCCACGATTGCATGATGGCGCGAGTCACGGACAATGGAACTGACTCAGAGGCATTCGCAGTGACCAACTGAGTGAAGCAGAGCTGCGTCCTCACGCCTACCCTCATCAGTCTCGTGTTCTCTGCCATGCTGATGGACGCCTACCGTGACGAACGCTGTGGGATCCGCATCGCCTATAGGACGGACGGCCAACTCTTCAACCACTGACGGATGCACTTCCAGTCGCGTGTATCCACAAGTGCCGTAAATTAACTTCTTTTCGCCGACGACTGTGTCCTCAACGCCACCTCAGTAGGCGACATGAAAAGAAATATGGATCTCTTCGCCGCCTGCGAAAACTTCGACTTGATCATCAACACAGAGAAGACGGTGGTTATGAATCAACCGCTACACGACATTGCCTACGGCACCCAGCTGCCAGTGGCGGACAGCTTCACATATCTAGACAGCACACTCTCCCGCAACACCAAAGTCGACGATGATGTGGCCCGCCGCATTTTCAAAGCCAGCCAAGCCTTCGGCCGTCTGCAGAACACAGCCTGGAACTGTCACGGTCTCCACCTCAATACCAAGCTGAAGATGTACAAGGCAAAAATCCTACCGACGCTATTGTACGGGACGGAGACCTGAACGGTTTGCAAGAGGCAGGCGCGGAGACTCAATCAATTCCGCGTCAGCTGTCTTTGCCGCATACTGAAGCTGAGGTGGCAGGACCAAACTCCGGACACTTATAAATAAATTTTTATAAATAAATAAATTTTTATTTAATGCCAGTTTACAGGCATTGCCAAGGGAAGCGATTAAACACAAATCCGACCAGCAGTGAAAAAAACTCCTGAGCTTAAGGGATAAAAATATAGTTGATGGTGGTTTTTGTGGTTTGGAGGGCTCAGGAGAAAAAACTGCCGGCGGTGGTAGAATATCGACCGTCAAGAAGGGGGGAGGTTGCACGGCTTCGGAGATTATCGGACGTCAAAGTCCTCTCATGAAGTTGGGGATAGTCAAAGTAGAGACGTTGAGGAACAGCTGGTGAGACCGGCCATAGTGTTCAGAGACCACAAACGCCATCGCTACGGTACAGTCGATCAGTAGATTCAGCACCCAAAAGTTGTGGGAGATTTTCTGAATGCAAAAATCGAGTAATAGTTCTCTTAAATAAAGGAGCGGATGGGAATCCTCAGCATTGACGCCATGCTGAGACAACTGCAACGGCGTTGGGACGGCCACCTTGTGCGGATGGACCAAGAGCGGCTACCCAAACAACTCTTCTGTGGAGACGTCGCGAAGGGCCCCAGCCGCCGAAGAGGTCGAATCCATCGATACAAGGACACACTGAAGACCTCGCTGAGGCATCTGCAGATCAACCCGGGCAATTAGGAAGGCATTGCCCGAGACCGACCGACCTGGAGGAGGACAGTGAAGACAAGAGCAGCAATCTTCGAAGTCGACCTCATCGCCCCCACAAAAGCCAAACGCGAGACTCAAATTTCAACTGCGCCGCCTCTCAACACCAACGTCCAACCGCCTCCAACGTGTCCACGATATCTACAGATATTCCGGGCGCCAAATGGACTTGTTAGACACCTCCGGACCAACTGGAGCATCCGAAATGCAACAATCGCCGTCTCTCCGGCCACCCCTCCCTCGCCTCCCACGGCGTCAACAAACGTCGACCGCCCTCTCGAACCATCACTACCCTCCTCCTCCACCTCCTCCTCCTCCTCCTCCTCCTCCTCCTCTTCTACCGCCTCAACATTTGCCGCCTTGGCGTCTGCCATGCTCATAAACACTACACAAAATCCTGAGGTACCACTTAACACCAAGGCGCACACCGTCGACGCCAATGATGAGGACATGGTCTATCCCTGTCCTCATTGCAATCGCACCTTCACCTCACACATTGGCCTGGTCGGTCATGGGCCTATTCGGTCACATGCGTATCCACGAGAGCGGAATTGACCGCAGTCTCGGCACATCCAGTATACTCGTCATGGCTAGCCCTGCCCACACTCCGCCGCCCAACGCGCCCACCGCCACAACCCCATTTTTATTCCTTTTCCACAGGAGTTTTTTTTCGCTGCTGGCCGCACTTGTGTTTAACGCTTCCCTGACAATGCCTGTAAACTGGCATTAAATAAAATTATTATAACTATAATAATAAGTATTATTACATTTAGTACATCCTGCACCCCCATCATGCACAGCCCGACCCACACCCCGTCGCACAGCGCGCCCATAACCACCACCATCATCGAAGCTGATACTAACACCACCGACTGCGCACGTCCACATTGTCCCCGCATATTCACTTCGCGCCTCGGCTTGGTCGGTCATTTTCAAA